GTGTTGTCGAGATATGAGTTGGAGCAGCGCTGGGGTCGGTCGGGTGGATGTGAGCTGTCTTCGTATCGCCAGTCGACTGAAAAGCTGACTCTGTAGCGGGCTTCTTGGCTCGCAACAAATCACTCGGGTCTGCAGTCTTCTGGTATTCCTGCAACTCCACCACTGCCATCTAAGCATCAGTGATCTTTGAACCTTTCTGAAAACATTCCTCCGCTTTCTTCCGATTGCTCGTAATAGTGATCACACCTTTGGGGCCAGGCATATTCAATCTGAGGTACACGTAACATGGTCGGGCCATGAAGCGTGCATAAGCCGGCCTCCCCAAAATAGTGTGGTAGGCACTCTGGAAGTCTACAACTTCAAATGTCAATTTTTCTTTGCGGTAATTTTTGGAATCACCGAAAACCACATCAAGAGCAATCTGGCTGAGTGATTCAGCCTTCTTCCCAGGAATGACTCCATGGAAACTCATGTTGCTGGCACTGAGTCTGGACATCGGAATGCCCATCCCTTTCAACGTCTCAGCATACAATATGTTCAAACCACTGCCACCATCCATCAGGACTTTGGTCAGTCGAGTGCCTTCAACAACTGGGTCGACCACCAAAGCTTGCCTCCCAGGGGTGGCGATGTGAGTTGGGTGGTCGGACTGGTCAAATGTTATGGCAGTCTGAGACCATTTCAGGTAACTAGGTGTCGCCGGAGCGACCATATTCACCTCTCGGTTAATAACTTTCAGTCGACTTCTGCTTTCAACATCGGCAAAAATCATCAGAGTGGAATTGACCTGAGGGTATCCGTCGTCACTATCTTCCTTGTCCTCAATCTTGTCTGACTCCTTTTCCTTACCTTTGGGCTGCTTGCCCTGGAACTGCTGGATCAAGAGTCGACACTGTCGAGTGGTATGTTTCGGGTAAATGAAATTACCCTCTTCATCTTTCTTTGTGTGGACGAGACATGGTAAGTACAACACATCATTTCCGTCCTAGTCTTTAACCTTTTTGGGGTTCCAAGGTCCTTTAGGTTTCCCTTTAAACTTTCCTTAGGTTAAAGCCAAGGCTTCCCCGGGAGCCGCTGGCTCGGCTTTTCGCTTCTGTTTCCGATTGGAATTTCCTCCGGTTTCTTGGGCGATTGACTTGAGCTTGCCACTCCTGAGTCGATCCTCATCTTCACCATTAGCGTACTTGGTGGCAATATCCATCATCCGATTCAGGGACATATCTCCGGTTCGACCGAATTTCAAATTCAGTTCTCTGTACTTGACGCCTTCCTTGAAGGCACAAACTGCTTGGTGGTTAGGTACATTCTCCACCGAGTGATGTAACGTGATCCACCTCTGGATGTAATCCCTCAAAGTTTCATTCGGCTTCTGCACGCAAGACCGCAGTTCCGTCAGCCCTGCCGGTCGCTTGCATGTGCCTTCAAATGTGGTGACGAACACTCGGGAGAGATCTTTCCAAGTGTAAATGCTGCTAGGGGCTAACTGGTTCAGCCACGCTCTGGCCGAGCCCTCCAACATGAGAGGCAGGTGCTTCATGGCCACTTCATCATTGCCGCCGCCAATCTGGATGGCCAATCGGTAGTCCTCAAGCCAAGTATCGGGCTTGGACTCGCCAGTGAACTTACTGACTCCAGTCGCCAATCTGAAGTTGGGAGGAATCACAGCGGCCCTGATGGCTCTACTAAAGCACTCTGGCCCCGAAACATGTACTCTGCTGCTGGTAGGTGCATCTCTGTCGTGACCTTCTCGGTGAGCCCTGTTCCTGTCGACCAAACCTTCGATGAGAATGGATCTCGCATCAAAGCCTGGCCCTCTGGGGTTGACTAGAATCCTTCGCCCACCACTATGAGGGCGCCTGTCATCCTGCTGGCGAGGCACATACGACCCGCTCCTTGGGGGAGGCGTGGGCACTCGATGTTGACCGTCACGATCGACTCGGTGATCATACTGCTCATGGTTCCCATACTGGTCACGCCGGTCTCCACGTCCCTCACGCCTTGGGGGCGATCTCGGGCTGTGAGCCGACTGGACTGTGTCCGTGGCAACGGATCTGCTGTGAATCCTGTTCCGCGACTGAGAAACAGCGGAATTCTGGTCTCCTGCTGCTCGGAGTAACGCTCGGATCTGCAGCAAGCCTCTGCCAGCCTCCGACTGGGAAGGCTGAATCGACTCCGCAATACGGGCCGCAGCTGCTAAATTCTGAATCGGAGTTCGATATACCTGCGGGGGCGGGAAGAGCTGACGTCGACTGCATTCGGGAACCCGTTGTCGAGCACGCTCGTCGAGTGCTCGCTAGAGGTTCTCCAGTCGAGTGCGCTCGGCCAAGTTTGCCAGGCGCGCGTCTTCCAAGGCGCGAGCCTCGAGGGTTTCTCCAACGATAGGAGTGTGCAGTGCATCCACGTTCCGGGCGGCGAAGTTCTTCTCTCTACAGCGACGTGAGAGGCTCGGGAAGATACTCCTCAGGGGGACGCGACGGGTCGCCTCCACCCACGCCTCCGTCGGTGCGGGGAAAACCGGGAGGACTGGGCGGTCCATCGACCATCAGAACCTCCGCCGTCGGATCGCTACTGACGCACTCGGGTGCGGTCTCTGCGGAGCCAGTCGACAGGTCGAACAGGCCGTAGAGGGATTCGTCGGGCTCGATTGCCGCGACTTGAGGGGTGACCGACTGACGTGCCACCGCGTGTCTCACCCACTGCTGAGGTCTCGACCGACCGGAGCGCTTGCGCCGGTGGGAAACGGGGAGGAAGGACAACACAGGAGCCGACCGGTAGGGGGTCGACGGTTGCCGCAGGAGAACGCCGCGGATGCACGCGCTAAAGTGTGTTGCCCCGTGAACAGGGAGTGCGTCCATGTCGAGCAGAGCCTCTTGGAGCCAAGCAGAGTCGTCGACGATGAACGTGAGCGCACCGAGACGGATCTCGCGGCCCTCCACCAAAACTCCGCCGAAAACCATGATGATTCGGGTCGGAAAAGGTCGCAACTCCTCCAACAAACGCTAAAACACCTGCCCCACAGTGGGCGCCAACTGTCGTGGTTCCAAGTCTGACAGTAGTGTAGGTGGGTAAGTATGGAGAGACAAGATCTTAGCTATGGAGGAGTTGTAAGAACGCAAGGTTTACGAGTTCAGGCCCTTCTCGGAGGAAGTAATAGCCCTACGTCTCGGAGCCCGGAGGCGGTCGACTGAATTATGAGAGTATGAATTACAGGGGTGCGAACCCTTGTCTCGGAGGAGGGGGTGGCTTATATAGAGTGCGCCAGGACCCAAGCCGGCCCATGTTACAAGGGTTCAATGTACATTAAGGCAGGACGTTACTGGTAACGCTAGTAATAAAGTGCTATGATGACCATAAAAGCTACTTAATAACCAACCGCGGAGTGCCTTTAGGCCACCTAACTGTCGAGTGGCTTGGTCTTGGTCGAGTGATTGCTTCTTGATCGAGTATCTTCAAGTCCGTCGAGTGAGACGCCTTCAAGTCGATTGAAAGATGATTTCTTCCGGAGATGTCCTTGGGTAGGTCAGTTTGGACAGGTTCATGACCCTACCCTAGGTACATAGCTTCATCACCAGCAACCGACATACACGCCAGCATACAAAAAATGCCTCTCGGCCATAGTTCCTCATCTTGGCTGTAGTTCATATTGGCAGACATGTGGACATACGAAACAATCACGTCTCGATCATAATTCATGCATCTCGGCCGGGAAGGAGGCGGCGGCGGGTTTAGACGCGTCGGCCATGGCACGAGGGCGGAAGGGTTTTGTGGGAGTGAAGAGAACGGCGCTTGTTTGTACTAGATAGGCTGACCAGAGGAGGACAAGGGAAGGACGTTTTGGGCGTGCGGGCGGATGCAAATCCAGCCCAAATTTAAATTGAAAATGGGTAAAATGGACGGATGTCCAGTTGCGTTGCCGCGTACACAAAAAAGAATGTGTCGCCGCGTTGAAGTTGGCCTTTAGGATCAAAATGTCCGCTACGGTGACGTAGCCGCGCCTATCATGGAGTCGTGGCTGTGGGGATGATCCTACTACTACCTGCTACCTAGTCGTGCGCCACCCACCCTGCCGTCGTGAACAAGTGGCTGTCGTGCGCGCGCCTTTACCCCGAAACCGAATGAACGGAGCCGGCCGTACGCACGCGTTTCTCTTGGTAGTGTGGCAAACAGATATAGGGTTGAAATAGATCGGGATTAGTAAATATAAGGTGCTGATTTCAGGGATTTGAAGTTCAGGGTTTGATCTCGACCATTAATACAACTTCAAGGTTTTAAACAGACTTCACTCTGCTCCTGTAGCTCGTGACGGAGCGTGCCACCGCCCTCGAGTCCTAGTACTAGTAGCAGCACTAACTTGCTTCCAGCCGGCCAGCCATATAGGTTCCGGAACGTACTCCGTGGATGCAGCGTGCAGAGGTTGAAAGCCATGGGCTGGCGCACACCGACCAACACAAATTCACCGAAAAAAGCGCAGCGAGAGAGGCCCCCACCTCCGACAAGCGTGCAGTGCACCGCCTCTGCTTTCCGGTGTGCAGCTGGACTCTGTCCCGGGCGCCATCAGTGCGATCCATCCATACGCAGACGCAGACGGTGACGGTCAGAACTCAGAGCCACCGCACCGCACGGCCCCAGGGAAGTTACGCGCCTTTACTTTGGAGCCCGTAGCTTGCTTGCGAATGGAATCCAATACGAGGTGCAAACCGCAACTTTCGTCACAATCCAAGATGACTTAGTGTTTTTTTCAATCGAAGAAAAGGGGAGAGGAGCTTCTTTTGCTCACTCTTTCCGTGACGACCGACAAAAAAGTTGGCGTCGTCAATAGTAGTTACCACCACCACACCCATCAATCAAAGGCATGGAAAGCGGATCGACCGGTAGTAGTAGGGAAGAATGAGATGAGATGAGGTGAAACAATTCATTATCAAAATTGGCTTGGAGCATATCCTTTATCAGATCTGTGTGCCCACCGTCGCCGATGGATGAGAACGGGAACGGGGACTGGGCTAGACGAGCATCATCTGGAACAAGAGGTCGTTCCAGATGTCGATGGGGCCGGGCAGGCACCAATGGATGCAGTCGTTGTAGAGCTGCACCTTCTCGTTGGGCCAGTGGCCGTAGCGGCTGGGGTGGCCGTCGGGCCGCATCAGCATGGCGGCCGTGGCGTCCATGAGCATCAGCCGCAGCCCCTTGGCCCGCGCGGCCTTCTCCGCGGCGCGGTACTCCTCCATCTGCGCCGTGTAGAAGTGCAGGTCGCGGCCCTCCATCACCGTCTGGTTGCTCCGGACCGGCTCCGTCCGCTTGCAGTTGCCGCCCTGGTCCCATGTCCCGTTCTCGAAGTGCGACATGGGCGACAGCATCCGCACCATCACCCGCCCCTTCACCTTGGCCTCCAGGGCGTTGATCGCCCGCAGCGACACCCGCCACGCCTTGCGCTGCGAGTAGTAGAGCGTCAGGTCCGGCACGCCGTACTGCCGGCTGCAGAAGCTGCACCCGATGAGCCGCCGCTTCTCGTAGAAGAGCGAGGGGCGGGAGAACCAGTTGGCCGCCGACACCAGCACGTAGTCGAACCGGGGCACCTGCGACACCCACTTGTCGTCCGGCTCGTCCAGGTACAGGCTGTAGTGCCCCGTGTGCGCCGGGTCGTCGTGGTCGGGCTCCCGCGCCCGCACCAGGAACGGCGACCAGAACATGTTGATGGTGAAGTTGTACGCCCGGTAGTGGTACACCTTGTTCTGGTCCGTCGGGTTCGCCGAGATGTCCTTGGGATACGCCACCTGCAATCCATTTGTTCAGCCTCAAAGCCTCAAAGCTCAATCCAGTGCGCAAACATGGCAGGCGAGGAAAATGTACGGTACCTGTGAGAGGAGGCAGAGCAGGGACTGCATATGGTTGCGAGCCAGGGAGTCCCCGACGAAGGCCAGAGACTTGTGGCGGACGAACTGCAGGAACTGGACGGGGTCGAAGCGCGGCAGCTCGCAGCCGGACGGCCTCCACCGCCACTTGAGGAAGCCGAGGTCGGGGCGGCCGTATTTGAGGCAGTTCTGGTGCTCCTGGATCATGCCGCACGTCTTGTGGGTGTAGTAGGGCGCCTCCGCGTCGGGCACCCACTCGCCGCGGAAGATGTCGCAGTACTTCATCACGCTCACCACCGGCGTGGACGACGCCAGCTTGGTGGCGCGCGGCACGCCGACGCCGCCGAGCCCGAAGTACTGCGCGTTGGTCAGCAGGATGAGGATGGCCAGCGCCGAGAAGTAGACCGGCACGGGCCCGAACAGGACCTTCACCAGGAGATGGAGCTTCATCTTCCTCTCCCTCCCGCTGCCTATCTTAGCTCCTATACTACGTACACCTATGTCTACTTACAGCCTGCAGCAATCGGCAAGCAAGGAGAGAAAAACCATGGATATCTATCTAGCTTGAGCTTGGTACTCTACCACACGAAGAAGAAAGAAGCAAGAGGCAGCAGCGCACGAGGAAGGGGATGATGGGTGGGTGGCTCTTTTTTGCCTTTGCCGGGCGGTGCTTGCTTTGCGGACCCTGTCTCTCTCGGCTATCTCTGCGGGTGCGAGGAGATGAGGTGCTGCTTCTTGAAGGCGGTGGACGCGGAGGAGAAGAGAGTAGGTGCGCGGTTCATTTCAATATTGACAGGTGGGCTCGCCGAGGAACATGTCTGTCTTTTTCCATATTAAATATTACTAAAATGTAAACAGCCTGCAACCGTCCGGACTGCACGGTTCAGACATGTTGTGTCATCTAACACGGTCCTGCATCGGTCAGCAGAGCAGTCCGAATGTAACTTCTCATGCAAATCGGAGACAAACGTGAGCTTTGCGGGTGTTTGGATAGCACCAGCGTCCACTTCTAACCACTCTGGCCCATCCGAAATTCTTCTCCCTCGCCCACGTACCTTCTTGCCCGGCGCCGACTGTCTGCATTCATGCTAATGTAGAGAGGACACGACCTCTTACTGCATGTGCCATCTAAGCGGCGCGTCCGCCGAGATGTTGCCCATGATGCGTCTCTAATTTCCGCGGTTGTTCAATACAGGAGAAACGTTACTGGACGGGGCGCATATCTATCACGCCCGTTCAGTGCACCGTCTATCTGTATACCTCCATTAACGAAGTTCGCCGGTCGAGAAACCTGTTGGAAAACGCAGTATTTTAAAAAATTTGCCTACGATCACGCAAGATCTATCTAGGAGATGCATAGCAACGAGAGGAGAGATTGTGTCCACGTACCCTCATAGACCGAAAACAGAAGCGTTTAGTAACGCGGTTGATATAGTCGAACGTCTTTGCAATCCAATCGATCCAAGCACCGAACGTACGGCACCTCCGCATTCAGCACACGTTCAGCTTCATGATGTCCCTCGAACTCTTGATCCAGTTGAGCCCGAAGGAGAGTTCCGTTAGCACGACGGTGTGGCGACGGTGATGATGAAGTTACCCGCGCAGCGCTTCACCTAAGTACTACGACGATATGACCGAGGTGTGTAACTATGGAGGGGGGCACCGCACACGGCTAAGAGATTGTCTGTTGTGATATTGGGTGCCCCCTGGCCACGTATGTAAAGAAGGGAGGGAGAGAGGAGGCCGGTCAGGTTGGGCGCACCAAGGGAGGAGTCCTACTTGGACTCCTAGTCCAAGTAGGATTCGCCCCCTCCTCCCCTTTCCTTTTTTTCCACCGGAGGGAAAGGGAAGGAAGAGAGGGGGGAAAGGAAAGAGGGGAGGCCTCCCCCTCCCCGAGTCCAATTCGGTTTGGGCAAGGGGAGGGTGTGCCCCTCTCTTGTGGCCCTTTCTCCTCTCCTCCAATAAGGTCCACTAGGCCCAATACTTCTCCCAGGGGTTTTCGGTAACCTCCCGGTACTTCAGAAAAATGCCCGAATCACTCAGAATCATTCCAATGTCCAAATGCAACCTTCCAATATATGAATCTTTATGTATCGACCATTTCAAGACTCCTCCTTATGTCCGTGATCTCATCCGGGACTCTGAACAAACTTCGGTTCATCAAAACACGAAACTCATAATACAAATCGTTGTCGAACGTTAAGCGTGCGGACCCTACGGGTTCGAGAACTATGTAGACATGACCGAGACATATCTCCGGTCAATAACCAATAGCGGAACTTGGATGCTCATATTGGCTCCTACATATTCTACGAAGATCTTTATCGGTCAAACCGCATAACAACATACGTTGTTCCCTTTGTCATCGGTATGTTACTTGCCCGAGATTCGATCGTCGGTATCGTCATACCTAGTTCAATCTCATTACCGGCAAGTCTCTTTACTCATTCCGTAGTGCATCATCCCGTGACTAACTCATTAGACACATTGCTTGCAAGGCTCATAGTGATGTGCATTACCGAGAGGGCCCATAGATACCTCTTTGATATACGGAGAGATAAATCCTAATCTCGATCTATGCCTACTCAACAAACACCATCGAAGGCACCTACAACGCATCTTCATAATCACCCAGTTACGTTGTGATGTTTGATAGCACACAAGGTGTTCCTACGGTATTCGGGAGTTGCATAATCTCATAGTCTGAGGAACATGCATAAGTCATAAAGAAAGCAATAGCAGAAAAACTAAACGATTATTATGCTAAGCTAACAGATGGGTCTTGTCCATCACTGTAGCGACCAGACCTCAAACAGTCTGATCTCTGTGCTCCGGTGTCATCCCTGGATCAGTAATGCTGACACCACATAGTACTCGGAGGATTTATAGCAGAGTAGCAACCACACACTTATTACATCGAGTGTCTCAAAAGAGAACTTATTACAATAAATATGGCTTAAGGCCATCTAATAACGATAACAGCGGAAGGCTTGGAAGATAAGTGAGTCCATCAACTCCAATGGCATCACTGAGTATAGAACCATGACCTAAAACTCCTTAATCGTCGTCTGAAAAGTCTGCAACATTAACGTTGCAGCCCGAAACGGGTGAGCACATGGAATATGCTGGCAAGGTAACACATAGAGAGTAATGGAATGAAACAGCTATACTATATGCATATTTGGCTGGTGGAAAACTCTATGGTTACAGTTTTGCGTAAAGCCAATTTTTCCCTACTGCAAAGGAATAAATTTATTTAACTATCATGATAGTTGTTAAACATTGAGAATGGTTGACAGCATTCTCAATCTCAATTAAGCATCATCATTAAACATAGCCCAACAAAATTAATTTAGAGTAACATGTTGAGATTCACATGATAATCCAAATACTAGATACTCAAGATGTCCATAACCGGGGACACGGCTAACCATCATTAGTTTATTACACTCTACAGAGGTTTGCGCACTTTTCCCCACAAGACTCGATCGCCTCCGTTTGGTTTCTCGCACTACATGGTGTTTGAGAAGACGGATGATCGAGACATAGTCTTTCAGAAGCGCTAGCACCTTACGATTGGGTAGACCATACCACCTACATCCCCTACATCTGCTAGTCTACCACTGTAAGAGTTCGCACGACTTAGTCAACTATGCTAGAACCCATAATAGCTTGTGGCTGCATACGGAAGTTTCTAGTATGAATAGTCTCATGATCCCTTTGAGCCTGGGTGGCGGTCCAAAAGAAAACAGACAAGTCCTGAAATACCCAGGTGCCTCAATCCACTCAGATGTGTGTTTAAGTTGCCACCTTAGATAAACCATTAATTAACAAACTCACATCTGTCATGGATTTCACTCACCCAATCCACGTCTACTAGCATAGCATGGCATAATAAGTAAACGTAGAAGTAACTCCCAAAGGTTTGATAATAAACAGGTAATAGGTACTACCTCATCTACTTCCCATCCCACAATTTAATTAGATCCTAATCATGCAATGTGTGAGGATTGATCTAATGCAATAAGACTGGGTAGTAGAAAAGGTATGATCAAAGTGTTACTTGCCTTGCTGATGATCCGTGAAACCTAACGATTCCAAGTAACAAGCGGCGCACTCTGGGTACTCTATCGCAGACAAACAAACAAGCATACAATAAGTACTTATCTAATGCACAGGTAAAACTCAAATAAGAAATCTAACCAGAAAGTTCAACTTAAGAACTCCGGTTGGCAAAAAGAATTAAATTGAACGAAGCAACGAAAGTCAAACGGCGAAAGAAAACAACTTCGTTCTACTAATCTGGATCTAGGGAAAATTTTACAGTAGCAAAATCTTGTTTAAGTTGGTTAAACGGATAGATGGTTTCGAGAGGAATCTCTGGGCGCTTGAATCGCCTGATTCCGATAAACGAGCGAAAAGTTATACTAAAACGAAAATCGGATTAGGAATCGCGATCAGAAAAATCGCGGATTTAACCCGAGAAAAAGAAAAACGATGAACACTCGCTAGAACGAATGAACGGACGAACGCTCACTATTTAAATAAATCGGAAAAACCGATCTTTTTAAAAAACCAAAACTAAAAAAACCGACGAAAACCGATTTTTTTTAAAAAAAACCTTCGCACGGAAGTCGAGGCTGCGGCGGCGGCGGCGGCGGCGGGCGGCGGCGGGACCGGGCGGCGGCTAGGGTTGGGAGCTGGGGCGGCTAGGGTTCTCCGGGGCTGGGCCTCGGCTTATAAAGGCCCCCCTCGGGCCGGAGTCCTAGTCGGACACGGCCCGTAGGTCGGTTTTTTTTAATTATTCCGCTCGGAAGAAAAATAAAAAGAAATACTAAATGGACACCAAAAATTCCGAAATAAATTTTCACGGGCTTCTAAAATCAAGCCGCACAAGGTGAACATTTATTTGGGACCTAAATGCAACTTTGAAAAAAGCACTTTTTTCCTAAATTCAAATAAAACACCGAAAAACTCCAAAATAAAATCTTATTTGATTTTATCATTAAATCCTCAATATTTCTTTATTTTGGGAAAGTCATTTTATTCCCCCTCTCATATTTTTGTAATAGAAATAATTGATGATAAAATAAATAAAATCAAATGATCCTATTCCCAAAATTTGAGAAAACTCAAATATGAAAATAACGAAATCCCCAACTCTCTCCGTGGATCATTGAGTTGCGTAGAATTTCTAGGATCAACCAAAATGCAAAATAAAATATGGTATGCATTGATGATCTAATGTATAACATTCCAAATTGAAAATTTGGGATGTTACAAACCTACCCCCCTTAAGATGAATCTCGCCCTCGAGATTCGGGTTGGCTAGAAAATAGGTGAGGGTGGTATTTGAGCAAATCTTCCTCTCGCTCCCAGGTGGCTTCATCCTCCGTGTGGTGGCTTCACTGAACTTTGTAAAACTTGATAACCTTGCTGCGGGTGACTCG